CCTTCTTTCCCCTCCCTGACCCTGGCGCTCGGGGCTTGCTGACAACACTCTCTTCCTAAAGCCCCCGCAGGGCGCCTGCCTGCAGCGTCTGAGAGGTGGCCCATCTCCATGGTACCGTTGTATCCCCAGCACTTCAGGTGGCTCTTTTCTCCTAGAACTGTCCCTGAGGGGCAGGGTTTTGAGGACCCAGGGGATAGCAACTGCCAACCAACCCCAGAGAACCAGCGAGCTCCAGGGTGAGGGTGAGGGTGACAGTGCCTTCCGAAAAACATCCCCTGAAGTCCCTGTTGGGGAAGTCAGCCACTAGGGGCTCCTCTCGCCCGTGGGACACTTACGCAACCCCGGGGGCTGTCTGCAGCCTCTGCCACCACCTGACGAAGACTGACCCTCCAAGAAGAGACAGCATTGCCTGGGGTCTCTCAGCTGGCCAGCTCCCTCCTAGCTGGGCTCCCTCAATAGATCCCTGAGGGTCTCAGGCCGTCCCCAAAGGCCACAGCCCCCTCTGCAGGCCCACACTGTGACTCCCTGCCCGGAGAAAGCATCTGAAAATTGATGAGTATCCATTTTTCCTTGGATGCAAAAGGCCAAAAGCACAAACGAAAGCTAAAGATTGTCCCTATTCTTTCTGCGTTAAAGAGACGGGTGATTGTCCAGGCGGTGAAGAGTAAAATGCAAAATGCAAATTTCCAGGTGAGCCAGAAGGAGAAGAGAGGAACAGGTGACCAGCAGGAAGCCCGTGGACAGTGACACTCCGTCTGCTGGGGGCAGGCACTTGGCCTGTGCCAGACACAGAGCCGAGCTTTCGGCCTCCTGCGTGTGGGAACCGTCTTTGTCCCAAGTGTCACAGGAGGACTCTGAGCTCAGAGACTGATTTGTCCAGCGCTGCCCGCTGAGTTGGAAGGGAACCTCGTGTGCATCTGACACCCGGCAAGGGTCCCTTGCTCTCTTTCGAGCAATAAGCACCCAGGTCGCAACCTGACCCAGGCCCGGTGTTGCGTCTCTCGAATGTCAAGGAAACGCCCTCCGGAATACTCTCTCGAGAGTCAGTGCCTCAGTTTACATTTGCCCCTCAGGTTCAGCCTCGGAGCCGGAATCCCATCCTCAATCCCAAGTTGCAAAAAGGAGAGACAAGCGAGGTCTCCACAGCCCGAGAAGCTGACAGCTGAGTGAGAGGTTCGTTAAAAGGCCACAAGTGCCCTGAAACAGCAAAATCACCACTGGAGAAGCCGGACAATCTGTGGAAGCGACATTCTTGGAAAGCAGAAGCCCCTTCTCAGTCGACGTCCTTGTCCCAAGACTAGAGTCTTGTCCCAAGACTAGTCTCAGAGCAGGACGTCAGGAGGACACAGTGCATCCCAAGAGAATGTTGCTGCCCCCGACGGACTGAGGAGAGGCCTGGCCCTTAGCTCCTTCGCGCCCATGGGAGAGACTGGCGTAGGCAGAAGCCCCCGCATCTAGGCTTTGGTTTACTCTGTAAACGTGGGACGACAGAGGAGGTGCTGGGATGCCCCTGGATGCAGGCCTGACGTGAGGCCCCCTGGAATTCCAGGCCTCTACCGGGCTGAAGAGGAGGGAGACAGACTGTTTCCACAGGAGCAGAGGGGCTGTCGCCTTCCTCCCACCCTCCAGGGCTTCAGGGTAGGGGTCAGGATCTCCACTGCTGGGTCTTGCCTCGCCTGCCTTCCCAAGGAGCCACCGAGCAGGATAGTGGTGGCAGGGGGGCACGGAAGGGCTGGTTGGGGCTGGCATTTTTTTGTCTCTGCTTTTCAAGGCTGATTATTTTCCAGCTAGGTTTTAGTTTCAAGGAAAGAAGGTAGCTGTTACTACTCTGCATTGCGTGATCAAAGGAAACGTCTTCTGGTCTTCTACACAATCTCTTAGAAATGTCTTGGGTACCTAGCCTAGGCTCCTAGGGTACCAGGCCCTGGGAAGAGGATGGTAAACCAAGGAGTCGCTGCCCTGGGCCTTGTCCATTTGACAGACATTTACTAGAGCTTTGACGGGGCCCACACAGACCCGCTGTCAAGGTCAGTCACAATCTCAGAGCTGATTCTTTACACACATAAAGCACAAAGGTGTAGGGTGAGCATCCCTGATTGGAAAATCCAAGACCCAAAATGCTCCATCATCTGAAGCCTTTTGAATACCAACATAATGCCACAAGTAGAATATTCCAGACTGTGTTCCACGCATAAAATTATGTAAAATGCTATATTGAACTACCTTCAGGTTATATATATATAAAACACATATATGAAGCCAAAACGAATTTCATATTTAGACTTGGGCTCATCCCAAAATAGCTTATTATGTATATGCAGATATTGCAAAATCAGGAAGAATCCAAAGTCTGAGACATTTCTGACCCCAAGCATTTGGGGTAAGTGAACTCTGCGTGCGTGCGTGTGTGTGTGTGTGTGTGTGTGTGTGCGTGCGCACATATATCTGAGGTGCAATGAGAAAATACAGTAAATATTTACACTTCTTTAACTGACCGTACTAGAGGACATCTCCGCAGCTCCCCTCCGATGCGCTACTGGCTAGGAACACACACCCCGCCTCTCTCGCCCCTCCCTGGAGCAGTCCTGGGTGTCCTCTGTCACGCGTGTCTTTTGTTCCGTTGTCACGGCTGCCTCGGTGTCCTGAATCCACTCGGAATGCTCACCTTCCACGGTCGTTTTGACTCTGGGGAGGGTGGATGGGGACATCGGTGGTGGTCTTGTGAGCAGGCCTTCCTGTTGGTGGTGTGCAGCGGAGCATTCACCGTAATTTTGTCGTAAAAATACAAAAAGGCTCCCAGAACTACCTCCAAAAGTAAGCAGAACGATGGGTTAAGTGTGTTGGAAGCAAGAGGGAGAATTTTGAGGAAGGACTAACGGGAATGTGTCTTTGACTGTTGTACAGTCTGTACTTAAATATCCCCTGTATATTTTGGTCATCCTTTGCACATCCAGTGCTCTCTGTAACATTAAATGTTCCTAGAACTGGAGTGGATTAGGAAAAAACGTCTATAGCTCAGGAGAGGGCAGTGATGGAAAGGGTTGAGAAGCACGCAGCTGGGTGCATGCAAACGATAAAATCCCCACCTTCCTGGCTCACAGTTCGGGGCCTATTAAGAGAGATAAATAAAGTACTAATTAAATAATGACTCTGGGGAAAGTGCTCTGAGGGCAAAGGCCAGGAGCTCGGGAGGGGCCGCCCGGTGCCGCCCTCACCCAGGCCGGAAGTCGGTCTACACCTCCTCCCGAGGCAGCCCGGGAGTGCTCCGGGCTGCAGCCACTTCCCTGCCTCCACTTACCTCCCACCCGGTGTGCCTGTTTAGGTGACCGGGCTCTGCCCCTCGGGGCGAGCGTGCAGTGCCAAGGCCCTGGACGCCGGGCTCCCTCCTGGTGGCTTTCGGGCTGGGCTCCACCGGGTCCCCAGCCCTCCCTGCCCACGTGTTCGGGCGACATTCCTCAGCCTCCGCCTCCTGGGTCAGCCGTCCCCCCTCGTCACACTGCCGAGGAACGAATCGAAGCTCTTGCTGCCCTCCAGCTCCTGGCAGGGCTCCAGGTGGCAGCTGCTGGGACCTGGGCTTTTCTGTGTAACCAACTTTCTGGCTCCAACTCCAGCAGCCAACCCCATGGCAGGTCAGGGCCCTGGCATTAGGGAGTCGTCCACAGACAGCAGTTGTGCTGCACATGGAATAAACAGCAGTAGGACAGGCTGTGCAGAGAGGGTAAGTCTATGACCTTTGCCGTTTTCTTGCTCCTTGGGCTTGAGAAGAGTGTCCGCTTGGTGAACAGCAGCAGACATCCCAGCCTTTCCCACTCTGGAACGATGCTGAGTTCAGGGTTTCAAGACGCATTCAAGGCTCCCCCGAGGGGCTGTCCCTTGAAGGGGCCTCCGGAAAGGGGTTTTCTCCCTGTCTCAAAGTGAAATGGGCTTGAGAGGTGGCTCTTCTATCGAAACCCTCCCCAAGTGTCTTCTCTGCCCTCTGAAGAACACAGGCCGATATCCTGGTCCTTATTCGACAGACGAGGAAACTGAGGTTCACATAGCCAGTGACAGAGTTGGGATGCAGCTCAGCACCCAGCCTGCCCCGTGTGTGTGTGTGTGTGTGTGTGTGTGTGTGTG